AAAAAAAAAAAATTAACTGGGCAACTAATAATAGAAAAAATTAGCTGGGTGTGGTGGCACATGCCTGTAGTCCCAGCTACTCAGGAGGCTGAGACAGGAGGATCACTTGAGCCCAGGAGTTTGAGGCTGATGTGAGCTAGGCTGATGCCACGGCACTCTAGCCTGGGCAACAGAGTGAGACTCTGTCTCAAAACAAACAAACAAAAAAAGGGCCAGACAGAATTGGATTTCAGTTCTGGCTGTGTCATTTACTAGTTTTGCAGACTTGAACAAGTTTCTTAGCCTATCTAAGCCTTAGTTTCCTTATGTGTAAAACAGCAACAATACTATATGTCACTTTGGGATGTTATGAGAATTACATTAGTAAGTATATTCAGAATAGTGCTGAGTCAATAGGTCTTCAAATGTTAGCTATTTTCCTTTCTTTAAGTACCTACCATATATCTGGCCTATGCTAGGCATTAGGTACACAGTGGAGAGCTTAGACATGGTTCTGGCCCTGTATGAAGAACAGACCATAAACAGAAAATATCTTTCTATGAAAGCACAATTTGAGAAGCACCTATTAGGAAGAAAACAGACTCTATGATAGAGGGGTCTACTTAGCTAGAAGGATCAGAAGTCTGTCCAAGGATACAGCATTTGACCCAAGTCCTGAAAGATGTTTAGGAGCCAATGATACAATGGGTAGGGGATGTAAAAGCAGTACATACAGAAGGGACTGCATTAGTCTTCTGTTTATCCTTTACATTTTAACGCAAGGGAGATTATGCCACATATACTATTCTGCAAATGCCTTCCATAACAGTACATCTCATTACTATGTGACAGCTATATAATACGGAAGTATCCCAATTTAATCCACTACTTTTCGATGGGTTAATAATAGATGGATATTTAAGGTGTTTCCAATTTTTGGCTATTACAAATAAAGCTACAAACATCTTTCAACATGTATCTTTGTGTAACCGATTCCAAAATTTCTAGAAGCTGCATTAAAGGAGCATGTAATTTAATCAGAAAAAAATACTAAGTTGGTTTTCGAAAAAATTTTATTGATGCCTCTTCTGACCTCTCTCTAGTACTTACTCTTTAAACTATATATTGGTTTGTATTGTTTTCAATACATGATACAACTCCCCAGCTAATCTATAAACTTAAGGCACAAATCATTTGTGTCTTCTGTATCTCTCCCATCTTGCCCAGCCTTCAAATACTTGTCAAATTAAAGAGGTTCCAGGACTCTTGGCACACTCATCCCCTGCAAACTTGTTGGAATAGGTACCTACCTCAGGTCATTCTTGAGTTCCACGACCACATCCTTGCCCACAAGGGACTTGAAAAAGGAATAGAAGAGCTATTGGGCGAGAGGGGGAAAGACATCATATGGAAGGAACATGTAGGGAAGAGTGTCCCCCTGCCAGTAGTATCAAACACTGGTACTGGGATTTACCACCGCAACTCTGGCAGTTCTCAGAACTTCACGGTAAAGAATACTAGGTTGACAGGTGTGAAAGGCTGGTGTCCAAATAACTCCACATGTTTCACTGAACCACTCACTTAAAGCCCGAGAGAGACTCTGCCCTGCACCCCTCAGCCGCCCCGGCCTGCTCTTTCAATCGACCTCTCCTGGGGTCCCTGACCACTCTTTTCAATTAACTGCAGAAACGTCCCACCCGTACCCTCCCGAAGTCTCCGGCAGGGAAATGCTCCTGGAGGTCTAGCTTTTCCGTCTCCTGCTGTCCCCACCGACTCTCTCGGAGTTGTTGGGTTTTTTCCCTCATAAGGGAAAAACACCCCATCTGCCTTCAGGTGTCTTCTCAAAGTACTTGAGGAGTAGGACTAAGGATGGAAGGAAAAACCCAGGGCCTAACTCTAGCTCAGAGGGACAAAGCCCGGACTCCCACCCCGCTCCAAAAGTCCGAACAGCCCGCGCTCTGCGAGGGCGCCCCCTTGTGACGTCACGGTACCCACCATGGTGCTGGCGCCGCGGGCTGCGGGCCGGACTGGGAAGGAGAGGGTTGGGCGCTGCGGGCGGCGCACCGGGAGGGAACCGGGGCGCGAGCCCGCGCGTGGGTCACGGTGCGGCCGCGCAGGCGCAGCGGAAGCGCCGCGGAAAGCTCCAAGTGCTGAAGGCTAGCACTCGGCAACAAGACCGCGACTCTGCGAGGGCGGACGGGGTAGAGCTGCGGGGACAAGGAAGCCGGGGGAAAAGGGCGGGGCTTCCTGCCTTCTGACTTCCTCCCAGGGCGGCCGGCTCCCACTGCGCAGGTGCGGCCCCAGGAGCGGCCTTGGGGGTCGGGGAGCTTCGCGCTTCTTCGGAAAGGTTTTTATTCTTTTACAAAATAGTGCCTTTTCACGGCGTGATTTGCTGACACCCTACACACTTCCTATTCAGAATTGTTGGGGAGTTTGTGAAAAATTATGATTTGCGCACTTTTCTATATATGTTACACTTGCATAAGTAAAAACATTAAAAAATGTTGAGGAGTCACCAAGATCAAGGGGAGCTTGAGCACAAATCTTGATTTTATCAAAGCTACTGAATAAATACAATTCTCCCAGGGACCCAACCTCAGTCTCCACGTTTCTTGCACACTTTTGCCTAGGACTATTCTGTAAAGGACTGAGTAAAACTAAATAGACTGTGGCTCACAATACAAATAACCCATTCTAATATTTCACTTCCAAATTTTGCCCCTTCAAACACACAGGGACACAAATGCACAGTAATATATAATTCTATACTCATGTCCCCCCAGGCTTTTATAAATATATGTTATTATGATACAATAGGTGAAAATTCTTTTACTGGAATAAGATTATAGATCCTCATTTCTCATCTTGCATAAAAGTACCTATTTGTCAGGAGTTTGTTGTAGAAATATTTTCAGCATGCAGTGGATGTAATAATGGACTCTGTGAGTGCACAGATACTGACTCTCCTGGACCCCACCTATAAGGACATCAAGCAGGGTTTCTCCCCCGACTCCCAAACCTAAACACCTAAACCAGCCTATAACTGATTATAAGCAGTAACTATAGTTCACAACTACTCCATCTGGGCAAAAGCGCCTGAGGATCAAAAATTACTTTCCCGTTTGAAACAATGAGCTTGTGAGAATTCAAATAGTTTGCCCTTACCACTTTAATCATTCACGATGAGCTCACAGAGAATCATGCTCTTTCCATGAATTCTCCTTTTCCTTATTTTTCAAGGGACACTCACAGCCTAAAGATACCAGAAGTAATTTCCATTAGGAACAAATTTATTGAGTGACAAATAACCATCCATACAGGAAGAAGAAAGTTAGGGTGGCCAGAAATAAATAACAGACATTCAAATTCAACAAATGGTTCCAAGAGGGGTGTTGTTCTCCTAAGAGTCCACTCCAGAGTGAGAAACAGAACGTTGAGGAGTGTGAAGAGATGGTGTATGAGACTCCATCAGAATCCCAAAGGGATAGTAACTTAGGTTCAGATCCAGTCAATTCCAGAACCGTAATGATGTTTGAAGATAAGGGGAAAATTCACTTAGAGGCACCCTAGAACACTCCAATTGCTGAAAAAATTAATCTACTTCTTCAATGGTGGGTCCCGTAGCAGGCCTTCCAGGCGTATACCCTGTTGCACAGGTAGGCCCAGTGCATCCTCCTTGGTAGAGTTTTGTGATGACGGGGTTACACACCTCCTCCAATGCCTTCCTCTTATGATCAAACTCGTCTTTCTCGGCCAGTTGATTGGCCTCCAGCCACGAAAGGACCTCGTTGCATTTATCCAGTATTTTCTTTTTATCAGATTCACTAATCTTGCCCTTCAGACCTTCGTCACTCACAGCACTCTTCATGTTAAAAGCATAGGATTCTAAGGCATTTTTTGCAGCGATTTTCTCCCTCTGGACCTCATCTTCAGCTTTATATTTCTCAGCATCCAGAACCATGCGCTCAATCTCCTCCTTGGTCAGACGGCCCTTGTCATTGGTGATGGTTATCTTGTTGGCCTTGCCTGTGCTCTTGTCCGTGGCTGTGACATTGAGAATACCATTGGCATCAATGTCAAAGGTCACCTCGATCTGAGGAACTCCCCTGGGTGCAGGAGGGATTCCAGTCAGGTCAAAGCGTCCAAGAAGGTTGTTGTCCTGTGTCATGGCCCTCTCACCTTCGTACACCTGGATCAATACCCCAGGCTGGTTGTCTGAATACGTGGTGAAGATCTGTGTCTGCTTGGTGGGGATGGTGGAGTTGCGCTTGATCAGGACAGTCATCACGCCCCCAGCTGTCTCTAACCCTAGGGATAGGGGAGCCACATCCAACAAAAGCAGGTCTTGTACCTTCTCAGACTTGTCACCCATCAAAATGGCTGCCTGTACCGCAGCCCCATAGGCTACTGCCTCATCAGGGTTGATGCTTTTGTTGAGATCACGTCCATTAAAGTAGTCTTGAAGCAGCCTCTGCACCTTGGGGATGCGGGTGGAGCCCCCTACTAAAACAATGTCATGGATTTTTGCTTTATCCATCTTGGCATCCCGAAGAGCTTTTTCCACAGGCTCCAGAGTGCCTCTAAACAGGTCTGCACACAACTCTTCAAACCGGGCCCTGGTGATGGATGTGTAGAAATCAACGCCTTCATAAAGTGAATCAATTTCCAGGTTGGCCTGGGTGCTGGATGATAGGGTCCTCTTAGCCCTTTCGCAGGCAGTGCGCAGCCGCCGCACGGCTCGCTTGTTCTGGCTGATGTCCTTCTTGTGTTTCCTCTTGAACTCCTCCACGAAGTGGCTCACAAGCCTATTGTCAAAGTCCTCCCCACCCAGGTGGGTGTCGCCAGCCGTGGCCTTTACCTCAAAAATCCCATCATCTATGGTCAGGATGGACACATCAAATGTGCCTCCACCCAGATCAAAGATCAGGACATGTCGCTCTCCCTGACCTGCTTTATCTAAACCGTAGGCAATGGCAGCAGCTGTGGGTTCATTGATGATTCTTAGCACATTGAGTCCTGCAATCACACCTGCATCCTTTGTAGCCTGGCGTTGAGAGTCATTGAAATAGGCTGGCACTGTGATCACAGCATTCGTGACAGGGTGGCCCAAAAAAGCCTCAGCAGTCTCCTTCATCTTAGTCAGTACCATCGAAGAGATTTCCTCAGGGTAAAAAGCTTTATTCTCCCCTTTGTAGGACACCAGCACCTTGGGTTTGCCTCCTTCATTGATCACTTGAAAAGGCCAAAGTTTCATATCTGATTGCACAACAGGATCATTAAATTTCCTGCCAATCAGACGTTTGGCATCAAAGACTGTGTTCTGGGGATTCATGGCTACCTGGTTCTTGGCGGCATCTCCAATGAGCCTCTCTGTGTCTGTGAAGGCCACGTAGCTGGGGGTGGTGCGGTTGCCCTGGTCATTGGCGATGATCTCCACCTTGCCATGCTGGAACACCCCCACGCACGAGTAGGTGGTGCCCAAGTCGATGCCTATGGCCATTCCCTTGGCAGTAGCCATGGTTTTCTGAGGCCTGTGGAGTAAGAATGGGATACTATTTTGGCAGATTGCTTTTTATTTTTTATTTATTATTTTTTCAAAGGGGGAATACCTGCCCATTATTTTTTTATTTTGGTAAAATACACACAAAATGTACCATCTTAACCATTTTTAAGTATACAGTTTGGGAGTGAGTTCAATCACAGTGGTGTCCAGCCATTTTCCAGAACTCTATTCATGTTGCCAAACTGAAACTCTATCTTCATTAAACAACTCCCCAATTCCCTCTCCCCCAAGTCTCTGGAAACTACTATTCTTTTTTCTATCTCTATGAATTTGACTACACTTGGTACCTCATATAAGTGAAATTATATAGTGTTTGTCCTTTTGTGACTTGGCTTATTTCACTTAGCATGATGTCCTCAAGACTCATCCATGTTGTAGCATGTGTCAGAATTTCCTTCCTTCCTAAGGCTGATTAATATTCATTATACGTATATACCACACTTTGCTTACCTATTCATCTCTCCACAAACATGGGTATACAAATATATGGAGACCCTACTTTCAAGGCAAAGTGATTTTCGGACAGGGCAGACGAAAGTATTTTCAGCTACTCAAAGGAGGGAAATGGGTGTATATTGTTTTCAATTTTTCACAGGACTTGATTAAACTATCCTTTTCCTATGCTGGTGATATATTTTATTGTGAGACAGTATCTGCCTTTTGCTGAACTAAGATTATTTTACATTCTGGTCTCCTCAAGAGATACTAGCCTCCATACTTGGGTTTTGCTGCCTTCCTGGGCTACTTCACCCTCTGTTAGGGATTCGTGAGGAATAAAGTCTGGCCACTCTGAAAACAGCTACAAGGAACTCAATCAGCCCTCACAAGTTTTCTCAGAGGAGGTGGGGCACTCTAGACAGCAGTTTTTCTATCCTCTTCTCCTGAATAAAATACCTGTTTTCTGGAGCCAAATTGAGCAGATCCAGAAAGGCTTTAGGGTCTGCCCCCTCCCCTACCCAGATTCCTAGGATGCACGCCCGCCCTGAGCCTAATTCCAACACCTCTTTACAATCCCAGCCACCTAGGCTTTCCTCAAGCGATCCCCCTTCCCTGGTCGGCCAATGCCCCCATACCTCAGACTTAAACAAACTAGGGAACTTTCCAGCATTTTCTCAAATGAGGGTCTACTGGGCCTTGCAGATTCCCACCCCGTTCCAATCAGATCTCTACTGGCTCACCTAGTCTCCCGTCGCCTTCGGTCCAGTTTGGAAACGTTCAAATTATGGAGCCCCTACGAGTGGGAGCGCCCTCAACATCCAAACTGCGCAGCCGGCGTCCCCCCACCCCCCACCCCGCCCAGCCCTGCAACTTTGAGCCCGCGCTGGCCCAGTCCTCCGGATTCCAAACTGGCCCTTGAGGTCAGAGGCAGCGTAGCCATTGTAACGCACCAGGTGGGCGATGTCAACACAAACGCCCTCACCCCACCCTCGCTGCGTCAGCCCACACTCCCCCTCGCCCCTACCCACGACAACGCAAGCACCGCACGGGCCTATAATGACAAGTCTAGCACGGACCCTGCCTGTGAATTTCGCACACCGGGCTGGCGGCCAGCTTCGCCTCACAGACCCAGTCAATACACAGCTCCCCAAAGCCACTCCCCTCCTCTGGGCGCTCCGTTCCCTCCAGTGAATCCCAGAAGAGTCTGGAGAGTTCCGAGGAGGGGCGGCACCCTGGACGCTGATTGGTCCCAGGAAACTCGGGGGCAGGACGGGAGGCGAAAGCCCTGGAATCTTCCCGACCAGGCAGCCCCGCCGAGCTCGGTGATTGGCTGAAGACGGAAAAGGCGGGGCTGGCGGGTGACTTATAAAAGCCGCGCTGAGCAGCCGGCGCAAGCAGCAGCCTGAGGCAAGGTGAGGAGCGGTTGGTGGGCTTCTGAGCGTTACTCCGCAGCTTCTAAGGCCTTTAGCCCGGCGCGTCCAGTTTCCAGTTTTTAGAAGAAACCGAGGTCCTGTCGCGGATCGCGTCCTACGACTCGACTCGCAGATCGCCCGCGCGTCAGAGCAGAGCCGAGAGAGCGAGGCACCAGCATGGCCAAAGCCACTGCGATCGGCATCGACCTGGGCACCACCTACTCGTGCGTGGGGGTGTTCCAGCACGGCAAGGTGGAGATCATCGCCAACGACCAGGGCAACCGCACCACCCCCAGCTACGTGGCCTTCACGGACACCGAGAGGCTCATCGGGGATGCGGCCAAGAACCAGGTGGCGCTGAACCCGCAGAACACGGTGTTTGACGCGAAGCGGCTGATCGGCCGCAAGTACGGCGACCCGGTGGTGCAGTCGGACATGAAGCACTGGCCTTTCCAGGTGATCAACGACGGGGACAAGCCCAAGGTGCAGGTGAGCTACAAGGGGGAGACCAAGGCGTTCTACCCCGAGGAGATCTCGTCCATGGTGCTGACCAAGATGAAGGAGATCGCCGAGGCGTACCTGGGCTACCCGGTGACCAACGCGGTGATCACCGTGCCAGCCTACTTCAACGATTCGCAGCGCCAGGCCACCAAGGATGCGGGGGTGATCGCCGGGCTCAACGTGCTGCGGATCATCAACGAGCCCACGGCTGCCGCCATCGCCTACGGCCTGGACAGGACGGGCAAGGGGGAGCGCAACGTGCTCATCTTTGACCTGGGCGGGGGCACCTTCGACGTGTCCATCCTGACGATCGACGATGGCATCTTCGAGGTGAAGGCCACTGCCGGGGACACCCACCTGGGTGGGGAGGACTTCGACAACCGGCTGGTGAACCACTTCGTGGAGGAGTTCAAGAGGAAACACAAGAAGGACATCAGCCAGAACAAGCGAGCCGTGCGGCGGCTGCGCACCGCCTGCGAGAGGGCCAAGAGGACCCTGTCGTCCAGCACCCAGGCCAGCCTGGAGATCGACTCCCTGTTCGAGGGCATCGACTTCTACACGTCCATCACCAGGGCGAGGTTCGAGGAGCTGTGCTCAGACCTGTTCCGAAGCACCCTGGAGCCGGTGGAGAAGGCTCTGCGGGACGCCAAGCTGGACAAGGCCCAGATCCACGACCTGGTCCTGGTCGGGGGCTCCACGCGCATCCCCAAGGTGCAGAAGCTGCTGCAGGACTTCTTCAACGGGCGCGACCTGAACAAGAGCATCAATCCCGACGAGGCGGTGGCCTACGGGGCGGCGGTGCAGGCAGCCATCCTGATGGGGGACAAGTCAGAGAACGTGCAGGACCTGCTGCTGCTGGACGTGGCTCCCCTGTCGCTGGGGCTGGAGACGGCCGGGGGCGTGATGACTGCCCTGATCAAGCGCAACTCCACCATCCCCACCAAGCAGACGCAGATCTTCACCACGTACTCCGACAACCAGCCCGGGGTTCTGATCCAGGTGTACGAGGGCGAGAGGGCCATGACCCGGGACAACAACCTGCTGGGCCGCTTCGAGCTGAGCGGCATCCCTCCGGCCCCCAGGGGCGTGCCCCAGATCGAGGTGACCTTTGACATCGACGCCAATGGCATCCTGAACGTCACGGCCACGGACAAGAGCACCGGCAAGGCCAACAAGATCACCATCACCAACGACAAGGGCCGCCTGAGCAAGGAGGAGATCGAGCGCATGGTGCAGGAGGCGGAGAAGTACAAAGCGGAGGACGAGGTGCAGCGCGAGAGGGTGTCTGCCAAGAACGCCCTGGAGTCGTACGCCTTCAACATGAAGAGCGCAGTGGAAGACGAGGGGCTCAAGGGCAAGATCAGCGAGGCTGACAAGAAGAAGGTGCTGGACAAGTGTCAGGAGGTCATTTCCTGGCTGGATGCCAACACCCTGGCCGAGAAGGACGAGTTTGAGCACAAGAGGAAGGAGTTGGAGCAGGTGTGTAACCCCATCATCAGCAGACTGTACCAGGGTGCAGGTGGCCCCGGGGCTGGCGGCTTCGGGGCTCAGGCCCCCAAGGGGGGCTCTGGCTCTGGCCCCACCATTGAGGAGGTGGATTAGAGGTTTTGCCCAAGATTGTCGTGTTTTGGAAATGGTTGGGATTTGAGACTTTAAATTTCCTTATATCTCTCTCTTTTCTTGGTTCTCATCTTTGCATATTGTTTGCAGTGTTGAACTGAGTTTCTTTTTGGTGAAATGTTCTACTTTTTTCCCAGGCTCTAAATGTGGAGAAGAATTTATACTGCCATCTTTTCTCCTTTTTTTTTTTTTTTTGTAATACATTTAATTCAAGCCAATTTTTTCACTGGTACTTCAAAATAAACTTTAGAATTCAGTCATGTCTTGCGTGCCTTTTATTTTGAGGTCTGTAGGATATGCTTGGGTTTTTCTCATTTTCTAAAATTGAATGGTGTTTTTGGCTCAAGGCCAGAAGTTGGAGAAGTATGGCTGTATTATGTGATTCATTTGCGTTAGACAAGTGTTATCCTTCAGTGAATTTTAAAAAAGAAAAGCCAGTTTATCATGAGTGGGTGGAAACTGTGGGTCCAGAAAAAGTTAAAGATACCTGTCTGTGGGATTAGTGTCCTTATTAACAAAAAAAAGACACCTGGCAGGGTGGCCTCAAGGTGGGTAAGGGGGCGGACCTGTGTAAGACTGGCCTTAAAAGAGGCTGGGTGTGGAGGGTGTTCCTGCAGGGCAGAATGGAGAGGCTGTTAGATGGGAGAGTGATGCTTCTCTTTAAAGTACACTTGAAATATTCAGAAATTTTGTATTTAAGCTAGAATAAATATGGAATGGAAAGTCCTAAATTGGTAGTGAAAAGATGGGGTATATGCACTGACTTGCTGAGTCAAGTCAAGTGACAAATGCCTTCACTGTGATCCCTAGTTCTTATTTTAAAATGGAAGCACTTGGCTTAATGCCTATGTCTAAAGTAAGTTCTTTCTTTCCTTTTCTCTCTTCTCTTTTTGGACACAGGGCTTTGCTCTGTTGCCAGGGTTAGAGAGCAGTGGCATCATTATAGCTCTCTGCAACCTTAAATTCAGGGGCTCAAGCGATCCTCCTGCCTCAACCTCCCTAGTAGCTGGGACTACAGGTGTGCCACCACACCTGACTAATTTTGGGGGGGGGTAGAGATGGGTCTCACTACATTGCCCAGTCTGGTCTTGAACCCCTGGCCTCAAGCGATCCTTCTGCCTCTGCCTCGCAAATTGCTAGGATTACAGATGTGAGCCACGACACCCAGCCTAAAGTTATTTCTGAAAGGATGCTGAAATAGGAATACTACAATCTTGGCAGTTATCACCTACATTTTAAGTACCCCTGTGAGCACCTTAGGGAGGAGTCCCACAGAGTACAGTGGCTCAGTAGCCCAAGGACCTCTGTATTTGAGGGCTCTATTATACCAGGCAGTGTACTGAGGCCTTTTATGTGTTGCTTTATTAATTCCCACCCCACCACACTTCATTAGGTATTGTTGACTTCCATAGGTGAATGTGGGGAAATCTATAAGGTACTAGTTTAAATAAAGGTACTTTAGGGTTAAAAAAAAATCACTGGTTTAGGAAAGAGTTGAACCTGGATGCCAATTAGGGACTTAGAGGTTTTTGCCACACTGCCCTAAATCCACTGGACTTTGTTTATGCATGCCTGGTTCCAGGTTGTGTTTCTACCCTAGGTTTCACAATTATCCCTTTTGCCTTTACTCTGTATAATCCTAAACAATTATGCCAGATAAGAGAGAATCTGCCAGCCCTGAACCAGGAAGACCCAGATACAGACTTCCCTCCTATAGACTTCTTTCCCTCGGAGATGTGTCATGCCCTACCTCCTAGCATCCTAGGAGTAATTCCTTCCACAGCCTCCTTGTTGGAAAAACGCCTGCCACATTCCTCAAAGCTTTGGGAGTGAGCCCCTTTAAAAATCAGTTGTACAGCCTAAGCAAGAGTGAGACCCCATCTCTACTAAAAATAGAAAAAATTAGCTGGGCATGGTGGTGCATGTCTGTAGTCCCAGCTACTTGGGAGGCTGAGGCAGGAGGATTGCTTGAGCCCAGGAGTTTGAGGCTGCTGTGAGCTAGGCTGATGCCATGGCACTCTAGCCCGGGTGACAGAGGAAGACTCTGTTTCAAAAAATAAAAATAAAAATAAAAAATATAATAAAAAAAATAAAAATCAGCTGTATCGGGGGGTGATGAAAATGTTTTGGAACCAGATAGAGATGATGGTTGCACTGTGAAGGAACTAAATACCACTGAATTGCAACTGCACACTTCAAAATGGTTAATGTTAGTGAATTTTTCACAACAAAAGAGAAAAATATCAATTGTGTTAACATTACATAAAAGCACTTTGATGGGGTTTGAGGTATATATAAGCTCATAAACGGTTAAATACTTGCTATGGGCCAGGTGCAGTGGCTGACGCC